TCATTGTTGTTTTGGCGGGTCCGGGCTGGGGATTCGAACCCGCCACCTTAGGTGTACGTGGCTGGCGCCTTAGCTGGCTGAGCTATAGGCGCCGAGCCAAAAATAGATTTTTCTAAAGCAAAACTAATGAATGAGAAATAGAAAGCAGAAAAGCAGCTGCCTGTGGCAGGGGTGAGGTAAGGGAAGGGGTGCTGGGGGGACTTTCTGGGCTCATGGAAACAGAAAACGTTCTACATCTTGATCAAGGTGATATTTACAGGGTGTAAACACACTGAATTGAAACCTTGAAGATCTGTGCATTTCATGGTATGTAGATTATATCTCAAAAAACCCAGATGTCCTATTTTGTCATCATACAAATAATGTTATGGATTATTTCAGTTCTCTCCTAAGGGTGTTTGCTCTCTAAAGTAGTACCAAGAAAAAAGGCACTAAAGCTAAACAGTATGGGTTGATGCCTCTTATCTGTGATCACAGCACCTTAGACGGCCAAGGCAAGAGGACTGCTTGAAGCCAGGAGGCTGAGACCAGCCTAGGCAACAAACCAAGACTCCATCTCTACAAAAAATGAGGAAAAAATGATCTGTGTGTGGTTATTCCTAGCTGAGGCAAGAGGATCACTGGAGCCCAAGAGTTTGAGGCTGCAGTGAGCTATGATGACACCATGGTAATCCAGCCCAGGGCGACAGAGCAAGAGCCTGCCTCAAAAGAAAAAAAAAAATGTATACCAAATGTGGTTAAGGTCCCCTCCCACCATAGGCACCAGTTATAATGTAAATGAGGCTGAAGGGCTGCTCAGATGTCCATACCCCAAAAAACCATTAGGTGTGAGATTCTGCTGTACCAGGGCTGAGCAGATGGATAAAGCCAAAGGATGAAAGAGAGGTTAAACCACACACCACCGAGGTGCCAAAGGCAAGAGGTCGGGAGCAAGCCGCCTTCACAGGCACCCTTGTGATCCCAACTGACGTGCACGAAACCTGTGAATCCATAGGAAGGATGCAGCTTACTGAAATGTACGTTGTAGTTACAGAAAATATGCGCATGAGTAAGAGGAAGCTGTAAGGAAATACACCAGAACCATGGACAGGCCATCTCAGGGACGGGGCTGCACAGGGGATTTTTAGCAGGCTTGCTGTGTGTTTTTTTGGTTCTTCAAACTTTTCTCTAATATCACGAGATCCTCTGTAATTAGAAAAGGAAAAGAAAAATGAACAGAAGCCACGTCAGAGGCAGTAGAGCAGCCACAGGATCTGGTTTTTAAGAGAATCCAGTAGACAAGGCTTGAGAGATGGGGTCTGAAGTGCTTCATGCTGGGGGCTGGGCAGGAGGTGACTGGGGCAAGAGGGGGCCGGGGGCACAGAAGGCAACAGTGCCAGGTGCTAAGGAGCAGCCTCATCTCAGACCAGAGACAGCGAAGGGCCAGCCTGCACTACACACCACCTGGAAAGAGGGCTGGTCCAGTTCACGTAGTGCTTTAAATGTTTTTGAGTCATCGATGTTTAAAAATAAAAGTAAGGCTCAGCACCTGTGGCTCAAGTGGCTAAGGCGCCAGCCACGTACACTCAAGGTGGTGGGTTCAAATCCAGCATGGGCCCGCCAAACAACTATGACGGCTGCAACCAAAAAAAAAAATAGCCGGGCATTGTGGTGGGCGCCTGTGGTCCCAGCTACTTGGGAGGCTGAGGCAGGAGACTCGCTTGAGCCCAGGAGTTGGAGGTTGCTGTGAGCTGTAATGCCACGGCACTCTACCCAGGGGGACAGCTTGAGGCTCTGTCTCAAAAAAAAAAAAAAAAAAAGTAAGATATACTGGAAATTAAAAAGAAAAAATGATTCTGAACTAGGTGCACCTTGACTCTTTTTCTAGAAAGTGAAAAAGGTGTAAGAATTTTATTCATTGTGCTTGTTTGTAAAGAAACCGGAAGGCTGGATTAGAAATAAAAGATGGTGTTTTAGGGGCAGAACTGGATGGAAGCAGATTTTCAGTAGGGCATCTGTGTGTTTCTTGAATCACATGAATATATTACCTTTCAAGCAACTACTCTTTCTTTTTTGAGACAAGTCACACTTGTCACCCTCAATAGAGTGCTGTGCTGTCATACCCACCACCCTCAGCCCCCGCAACTACACTTCTAAAAGATCAGCACTAGGCTGGGCGTGGTGGCTCATGCCTGTAACCCCAGCACTCCGGGAGGCTGGGGCGGGTGAATCCCTTGAGGCTCAGCAGTTAGAGACCAACAAGGCTCAGGCGTTAGAGACCAACCTGCACAAGAGAGATATCCCGTCTCTACTAATGATAGGAAAAAAACTAACCAGGCATCATGGCAGGTGCCTGTAGTCCCAGCTACTTCAGCGGCTGAGGCTGGAGGATTGCTCAAGCCGAAGAGTTTGAGGTTGCTGTGAGCTACAGTGACATCACAGCACTCTAGCCCAGGAGACAGAGTAAGACTCTGTCTCAAAAAAAAAAAAAAAAAAGGGACTGATAAAAGGCAGTGTGACAAATCATCTTTTATATACACTATAGACTTTGTTAAAACAAATAACCATGCTTTGATTTAATAGAAGTACATAGTGAACAGCTCTGAAATTAAAAAATGAATATGTTAGGGTGTTTCATATAAAACTCTCACATTGCTAACTTTTGGGTCTGGTAGCTGCTGATCCATGCTTACGCCAGACAGGACGGAGCAGCACCCGGCCACATCTGGAATGACATGAGTTGCTCATTCTCCCAAGGCTCTATTTGATCATCTTCGTCTGCAGGTGAAGGCTGAGAGCACAGGCACCTCCCGACAGGTGATCGGGCTTGCTGCCCGACACACGGGAACGTCTGCTGTCCAAGGGAAAGGTTCTCCAAGCTTCTCTCTGGTTCCCAGCATCCTATCTCCCCAATAAGTGACACAGAGAAAGAAAGGACTGTTCTCACATCCCCAAAGCATCTTTTATTCTTTGTGTGAAAGAAATAATCCTCCTTGAGCTGCAGCCGTAACTTAAGTGGTGACCAGGCATGCACGGTGTGGGGACATGGCTCACAGGTCCGTCAGAGACTTCTGCACTGTCCTTATCACCTCTCACCTGATGGCCTCCCAAAGTAAGACAAGTTCATTGTTTTTGTTTCTTTACAAGGAGCTTACATGTCTTCTACTTTTACAAATGTCTCCTATTTGTTTTTTTTTTTTTAGACATAGTCTCACTCTGTCACTCTGGGGAGAGTGCTGTGGCATCATAGCTCACAGAAACCTTAAACCCTTGGGCTTGAGCCACCCTCTTGCCTCAGCCTCCCGAGTAGCTGGGACTACAGGTGCCAGCCACAACACCTGGCTAGTTTTAGTAGAGATGGGGTCTCGCTCTTGCTCAGGCGGATCTGGAACTCCTAAGCTCAGGCAATCCACCCACCTCAGCCTCCTGGAGTGCTGGGATTATAGAAATGAGCCACTGCACGCCGGCCAGACTGTGGGGAATTTTAGATTTCAGGGGTTTGGATTTGTATGCTCACATCGTACCACAATCCACGAGGGCAGAAGATCCTTTTTTTTTTCTCACTTGTCACTGTGTTCCCAGGGTCCAGAACAGTGCCGTGCATGATGGCGTGCAACAGATATTTGCTGAAATAGTGAATGACTGAATGAATGAATGGCTGCAGGCGAATCCTCACGTGTTAGCTTGAGGGCTTCCTTTCCCTTAAAAGGCCCCTGTCCTAAAAGGCCCCTGTCCCACTCCAGATGCCAGGGTAAGAGAAACAAAGAACTTTCTGTTTCCAAACCTCTGAGGTTACTGAACAAACAATGCCGGTTTACTCACCAGGGGGACCCAGTAGGTATAGAGAGCGCCAAGCCGCATTTCAGGAACAAACTGGGAGCAGGCAAGAAGCAAAAAATAAAGGTTGAAGAAGTATTTGAACTGGTTGAACAGCACCTGGAAGGTAGAGGAACAACAGAAAAGAGACATTCAGGGCTTGTCTGATGAAGATTTAGCAGGAAGGAAAATATTTAGAAACATTCCTACTCAAGAACAAAATGTACATGATACCTTACACGTCAAGCTTAAACACTTCCATATGTTGTTTAGGAAACACATATGGGTAATAAAAATATTTTCCATGAAAGTAAAAAAGTGAATCAAGATAGACATGGAAATTGTCAACAGGAAATTCAAGATAGTGGTTGCTTGCTGGGGGTTAGGGGTGAGGAGATATCCAATGGGAAGGGCCCACAGGAGCGTCAGCCCTATCTGTGTTATGTTTTATTTCTTTTTTTTTTTTGAGACAGAGTCTCGAGTTGTTACCACCTTGGGTAGAGCACTGTGATATCCCAGCTCACAACAACCTCCAACTTGGGCTCAAGTGATCCTCTTGCCTTAGTTTTTCTATTTTTAGTAGAGACTTTTGCTTAGGCTGATCTCAAACTCGTGAGCTCAAGCAATCCACCCACCTTGGCCTCCCATGTTTTATTTCTTAAACTACATTTTTTTTTTTTTGAGAAAGAGCCTCAAGCTGTCACCCTGGGTAGAGTGCTGTGGCATCACAGCTCACAGCAACCTCCAACTCCTGGGCTCAAGAGATTCTCCTGCCTCCACCTCCCAAGTAGCTGGGACTACAGGCGCCCACCACAACACCCAGCTATTTTTTGGTTGTAGTTGTCATTGTTGTTCGGCAGGGCCAGCTGGATTCGAACTCGCCAGCTCTGGTGTATGTGGCTGGCACCTTAGCCGCTTGAGCTATGGGCACCGAGCCTAAATTACAAATTTTGTAAGGACAAGTACACCGCTCAAAATGTTGTTTAGAGAGAGGTTTTAGTGAGAAATGTTTATGCTATAAGGTTGAGTCCAAAAAGGAAGATACAAAGTTATGACCATGATATGATCTCAACTCCAAAAAATAAGACAGCAAAGTCCCACCTGGTGGCCACTGAGTTCTAGCAGGATTCTGACCACTGCCATGTTCCCTGGGAGTGACAGCAATACCACGTGACTAGTGGTCACCTCACTGGTGGTGTCTCTTCAAGGATAAGGCAGTTGAGAACCACTGTGACCTGCCCCACCACAGCTACTCTGGTGACCACATAGTCCAGATGGCATAACCAGGAAAGGGAGGAGGGTGGCCCTAGTGGGCATAAGACTTTCCGTGAAATAAAAGTTTTTCCTCCAGGCTTGGTGCCCATAGCACAATGGTTATGGTGCAAGGCACATACACCGAGGCTGGCAGGTTTGAAACCAGCCCGGGTCAGCCAAACAACAATGACAACGGCAACAAAAAATAGCTGGGCATGTGGCAGGCACCTGTAGTCCCAGCTACTTGGGAGGCTGAGGCAAGAGAAATTGCTTAAGCCCAAGAGTTGGAAGTTGCTGTGAGCTGTGATGCCACCGCAATCTATTGAGGGTGACATAGTGAGACTCTGTCTCAAAAAAAAAAAAAAGAGGTGGTGCCTGTGGGTCAAAGGAGTAGAGTGCTGGCCCCATATGCCAGAGGTGGCAGGTTCAAACCCAGCCCTGGCCAAAAACTGCAAAAAAAAAAAAATTCAAGTTGACCTTTAATAATGGATTTGTGCCTCTGCATTAACACACAGTATCTAACACAGCCACTTTTTCCTTTCTGCACTGGAGCTGATCGCTGCCCTGCTTCTCAAAGTCAATGAGCATATATGTGGAAGCCACAGCAGCGGATAAAAATATTTACTTTCTGTGTGTGTTGGGGGGGGGGACGGTTTGCTGAGTACATGCCCAGGGATTTGTATAAGTGACTGTAGAAGCATTATGACCCAGGACCATTTATTAGCAAAAATACTGATAGAAATTTTCTTAGATGGTAAGATAAAAACTTACTTTTTTCACTATACTTCTGTCTCTCAACTTGCCTATAATGTGCCATGACGGGAGGAGGATTCGAGCAGTGTTGATATTATTTTTTGATATCTTTTTCACTCTTATCAATATGCTATTCACACATGAAGTTATTCTAACCGGCCGGGTGGAGTCTGACAGCCTTGCAGATAAAAACCAGCACCCCCACCCTGGGTCATCAGGCTGGAGAATATGAATAGCCAGTGGTTAAGGTGGTTTGGAGAAGACACAGGGGATTCGCAAAATCTGCCACGGGCATCTCAGACTTTTAAGACTGGTACCAAGAACATATTTGTAACAGGAGAAAGAAAAGAAGGCAGTCCTTGCTTGCACATACCCCAGGAAGAAAAGTGAAGAAATTGTACTTCTGATTGTTGATGACATTTCGAGGATACCTCTGGTCTCTCTTCTCCGGGTGCCCCAACCACACAGTGCGGGGCCTGGGTTCCCCTCCACCGCAGCATCTCAGCCACTCGCAGCACCTGTGGAATAAACAGGCCTATATATCAAGGCCACAGGATACCATCAAGGCCCCGCCCATAGCGTCAAGACCCCACCCACAGAATCAAGGCCCCACCCATACCAGCAAGGTCCTGCCCAAACCAGCAAGGCCCTGCCCATACCAGCAAGGCCCTGCCCATCCCACTGAAGCCCTGCCCACACCCCTATCTGTCCACTGTTATCAGAGCATTTTTCTCTAAAGCATCTTCACTGGGTCAGGACCACAGCCACATATGCGGCTGCATACTTCAGTGAGATTTCAGAAAAACAAAAGTGGAGGCTTCTAAGAAATGGTCCAAATAAAAGAGGCTTTGTCCCCACTCCCAAATTATTTCTAGTCACATGCTGCTTAACAATGGGGATACAGTCTGAGACCTGTGCCCTGGGCAATCTCACCACTGCGCGAACATCACAGAATGTACTTGCACACACCTAGACAGTATCACCTGTGGCGCGCCTGGACTATATGGCACATAATCGATACCGTATCACAACACAAAGCAAGGCGGGAGTTTTAACACAGTGATAAGCGCTGTGAATCCAAACATGTCTACACCTGGGAAACATATGGTAGAAAGATGGTGTTATAATCTTTTGAGACCACCGTCACACATGCAGTTTATCACTGACCAAAACATCACTATCTGGGGCACAACTGTATTCCAAAAAGTGGGATTCATTTAAAATTACACAGATTTGCTAAGCAATTACATACATTGCAATAAGCACTATTATCACATTCATTTCACACAGAGACGGGGAGCTCCAAACAGTTCAATACAACACCCAAGTTTGCCAAGATGTGAGGAACGGCTGAACAGGGCCCTGCACCCGGCCAGTCTTATTCCACTGCCCCACGCTGTGAACGTTGCTGGTTACACTAAGATCACTAAATAAAGGAGAAGAGGAGACAAACTTCCTCTCCAGCCTGGGCTCTCCTTTTCAACAACACGCTGGAGAAGGGAGCTGGAAAGACGATGTCTCAGAGCCCAAAATAACCTGGAGAGGGGCCAGCATGCCAGCTGTCGGGGGACTGGCCTCAAATGCTGCCCCTAACTTGGCCTCCCGAGAGGATAGCTCAGTAGCACCAATCCACTCGAATCCTGCTCCTGAGACACTCTCAAATAAGGCAAGGGAACACTTGGGAATCTGGACGGCTCCGGAAAAACAAAGCCACTCTGAAAACCCCGAAAGGGCAGCTTGTCTTCTGGAGAGCTTTTGAATGAGGCATTTCAAGAAGTGTAAGCCTTCTTGAGCACTGCCATCAAAAACATTCCATGCTGGGATGTCCACCTCACCACCCCAGCACTCATGGGCTGGGAAGGAGATGCCCCCAGCCCTGCCAGCCCCCAGGGATGTCACCAGCTGAAGTGAAACGAAACAGATCTGACAACTACGGCTCACGTAATTATTTGCCTACCACGGGCATTCCGTTTCCTCTTCTTCCTACAGGACAGACCCCTGGTGGGCTGCGGGGGTACAGAGTAAGCAAACTCAGTCTCTGCATTTCAGGACCCCAAAGACGAGTGAGCCAGCTCAGATGCTCAAAATCTCCCTGAGCAAACACAATGGTCTTCTCTACCAGCAGCATCCTCATTCCAGTGACCCGTGTCAGGGCGCAGACTGGCTCAGCTAAAGACAGACTCCACTTCGAGGAACTCATTCCTGTTGGCCTCCCTGTCAGTTGTCCAAAGGCCAGAGACACACACAAGCTTCAACCCACTCTCCCCTTTTCTGCTCTTCAATGCAAATCTATCAGTGAACACTCACTGAATATGAAACGGAATGCAGGGAGGACAGATGGACGGAGAGAGGAAGAGGAAGGAGGGAAGAGTCACTGGACCAGAAACGCCCTACTCTATCTGCAGACACCTTCACAGATGGATACAACTGACCACTGCCTGAACCATCTCTCTCTGTCCTGTAAGAGTCCTGTAATGATGATTCCATAGTGGTAAGTTTCTAATGAAAGATGAAACACGAATTATTAAGAGAACCACAAACTGGCTCGGCGCCTATAGCTCAACCGGCTAAGGCACCAGCCACGTACACCTAAGGTGGCGGGTTCGAATCCCCAGCCCGGACCCGCCAAACAACAATGACGGCTGCAACCAAAAAATAGCCGGGCGTTGTGGCGGGCGCCTGTGGTCCCAGCTACTTGGGAGGCAGAGGCAGGAGACTCGCTTGAGCCCAGGAGTTGGAGGTTGCTGTGAGCAGTAATGCCACGGCACTCTGCCCAGGGGGACAGCTTGAGGCTCTGTCTCAAAAAAAAAAAAAAAAAGAGAACCACAAACTGTCAGGTTGACAGCTGATGTGAGTTTTTTTGGTTTTGTTTATTTCTTCCTTTCAACACAGCGAGCCATCTAGTTAAGCTATTTACTCATTACTGAATCTCTGGCCACGTGGTGGTGCACAAGATGCCACAGCACAGTGGCAGCAGAAGACGGGGAAGAATCCTAACCACGTGTCCCGGTACACTCAGGCCGCTATGCCAGAACACCTAGACTGAGTGATCTATAAACAACAGAAATGTATTGCTTATGGTCTGGAGGCTGGAGAGTTCAAGATCAGAGCACAGGGCAGCTCTGGTGTCTGGTGAGGCCCGCTCCCGTAGACGGCACCTGCTCTATGCCCTCACACAGCGGAAGGGATGAATGAGGTCCCTGGCCTCTTTTGCAAGGGAGTGGAGCACATTCATGAGGGCTCCACTGTTATGACCTGGTCACCCCCTGAACTTCATGATTATATCACGCTAAGGTTTAGGATTCCAACACATAAATTTTGGAAGGACACAAACATTGAGACCACAGCACTGTTCACCAGAGGGAGACTGGTTAAATAAACAGTACCACCTCCACAGCTGACCACCTCCCGGCACTGACCTTCTCCTTAAGTTGACCTCATTTTCAGAAACCGGACATGCACCACGGGCACGCATCAGTACAGCAGGCCTACTTCCTTATGCTGACCACCTCTGTACGCTGACCAGTTTATCACAGTCCCTTGGGTGGCCAATCTACAGCAGTTCTTCTACTGTAGCTGTTTTAAATGGATTTACCCCATTTACACAAATGTATTTGAAAAGGTAAGCTCACACCACTACCACAAATGGAAACCAGTATCATCTGCCATAAATCAGAGATAAACAACAAAATCAGTACAATGAAAAGCAAACTTTATCACCTAGTTTTGGCTGCGTGCTGTGAGCGACACTGGTGCTGAGCGCGAAGTCTGCTCTTCATTGTGGAGACACCAGCAAGGGCTTGATGTTAAACAGTGGGCCCTGGGCTGGGCGCAGTGGCTCACGCCTATAATCCTAGCACTTTGGGGGGCTGAGGCCGAGGCAGTGGATCCTCAGAACTCTGGAGTTCAAAGCCAGCCTGAACAAGAAAGAGACCCCATCTTTAAAAATAATAGAAAAAACAGCCAGGCATAGTGAGGGGAGCCGTTAGTCCCAGCTACCTGGGAGGCTGAGGCAAGAAGATCACTTGTGCTCAAGAGTTTAAGGTTGCTGTGAGTTATGACACCACAGCACTCTACCCAGGGTGACAAAGTGAGACTCAGTTTCCAAAACACGAATGAATGAATGAAGGGGGCCCTGACGGGGTTGTTAAATTTTTTTTTTTTTTTTGAAACAGTCTTACTATGTCGTCCTGGGTAGAATGCCATGGCATCACAGCTCACGGCAACTTCAAACCCTTGGGTTTAAGTGATTCTCTTGCCTCCCAAGTAGCTATAGGTGCCTGCCACAACACCTGGCTATTTTTTTTTTTTTTTGTAGTTGTAATTGTTATTTACCAGGCCTAGACCCAGGCCAGGTTTGAACCTGCCAGCCTTAGTGTATGTGCCCTAACCACTGAGCGACAGGAACCAAGCCAGGGGACTGTTAAATATTAAAGAAGAATTGTTTTGGGGGGGGGGGTTCTTCTAGAGACAGAGTCTCACTTTATTGCCCTTGGTAGAGTGCTGTGGAGTCACAGCTCACAGCAACCTCCAACTCCTGGGCTTAGGCAATTCTCCTGCCTCAGCCTTCTGAGTAGCTGGGACTATAGGCGCCCACCACAACACCTGGCTACTTTTTGTTGCAGTTTGGCAGGGGCTGGGTTTGAACCCGCCACCCTCGGTATACAGGGCCGGCGCCCTGCTCACTGAGCCACATAACTGTTCTACTAAATGTCTCAACGGGATTTAGTCCCTATCCATGAATCCTTCTTAAACATTATCACTGCAGCACCAAGAACCATCAGCTGCTCACATTTCTGGAGCTGCTTTCCTGCAGTGGAAAGCTCAATTTTAGTGGCAAATTTACAAGTAACCCAATTCTCCCATATCTGCCCGAACAGAAGTGGTGGCAGCCAGGGAGGCTCTCTGTCAATGAGTGGATCCATCCCTGTGATTCTCTCCAACACTCTGTTCCCCTGGCAACTGCCACCACACCCTATGTGTCCAAAGGCTGGACTTTAGCCACCGGAAGCTCCAGAGGAGCGGTGTCCAGGCTAGCGTTTGTGGCAGCTGTCCCCTTGGCGTCAGGGCTGTCACAGTTGTTTCTTAACACCAAACTGAACTGTCACTTGCCACAACAGGAAACTTACACTCTGGCTTCCCGGCTGGGAGATGAGCTACAAGACAGAATCCCTTAATAGCAAGAAATTAAGCCCGAAGAAGAAACTACTACCCAAGAGCAACAGTGTCAAAAGAGGGGGCCATGTGGGCTACAGGGAAGAACCCTGGGACTAAACCCAGCCCTGTGCCACCCAGGCTATGCAGCCTGGGGCTCTTTTTCTTTGATTCTCACTTTTACTATCTGAAAAATGATAATAATAAGACCCGCCTTGCTGAATTCCCGTGAGGATTAGAGATTTAATATGTAAAGGGGATAGAACAGAGCCTAGCACATAACAGCTGCTCAATAGTAGATGTTATTTCTCTTTAACTATTTTTGCCAGATTTAAAAAAAAAAGAAACCATGAAACAGTGTTTG